TGACGCGGGGCTCGAACTCCCGACCGCGAGATCGTGACCTGGCTGAAGTCGGACGCTCAACCGACTGCGCCACCCAGGCGCCCCAAAAAAATTTTAATAAAAAAATAAAATCAAAGCTGATCATCAAAAGTGACTGAAATTTACAGTGATAAGGTATGTGAAATCTTTCTTTTGCCACTATTCTAATAAGATTCATTATTTTCCTTTTCAAAACCTTAGGTTTTCCACTGTGCTTGTGTGTTCAGGGATATACCTTCAAGAAATAATAAATGGAGAAAATGCAATTTTAATTAAACTTTTCTTTCAATCCATTATTTTCTGCCCCGTGATACTTCAAGAAGGACTCCAACTAATTGCTAGGGAAGGGATTATGTTGTTTTTGAATGCATGGATTTAAGGCATCTGCTCTAGGATTGCTTAACTTTTTGTCTTAACTACTCTTAATTCCCTTTGAACTGACTATTTCCTAGAAATGTTAATTATTTGGCTAGAAAATGGGAATATTTTTATTTCCACGAAGAACCAAACTTTTCCATTTGGTTGAATCTTACTGCTTAAAAAATATCTATGACAATTTAGCTCCTTTGATTTTGGCAACATCGTTCTGTTTAATTGTCACCCTGTAAATTGTACACGCAGATTAAAAGTAAAGGTGGTAAGCATAAATTACCCCAATGACAGACAGGTAGTACTGTTGTTAAAAGCCACTAGTTGCTACAGAAATAAAGGCTAGTTCATTTATGAATTTTTTTTTAGGCAAGCATAGGCTATATTTACTGAAAATACATAATCTGTTTCTTGATGATAGATTAGATTGAATAACGGGAACTGAGAATATACATGAAAACATTTCATAACATAAAAATATGCCAATCAACATTTTTTTCATTTTTCTCATTTATTTAGTATTTTTATATATAAACATGTATATACATCATTTTTCCTGTGGCTCATTCGTTTTTTTAAATATAATTTATTGTCAAGTTGGCTAACATACAGTGTATACAGTGTGCTCTTGGATTGGGGGTAGGTTCCGTGATTCATCACTTACATACAATGCCCAGGGCTCATCCCATCAAGTGCTCTCCTCAGTGCTCATCACCCATCTTCCTCTTTCCCCAGACCCCCACCCCCCAATCAACCCTCAGTTTGTTCTCTGTATTTAAGAGTCTCTTATGGTTTGCCTCCCTCCCTCTCTGTTTGTAACTATTTTTACCCCTTCCCTCCCCACATGGTCTTCTGTTAAGTTTCTCAAGTTTCACATATGAGTGAAAACATACGATATCTGTCTTTCTCTGACTGACTTATTTCACTTAACATAATACCCTCCAGTTCCATCCACATTGCTGCAAATGGCAGGATTTCATTCTTTCTCATTGCCAAGTACTATTCCATTGTATATATAAAGCACATCTTTATCCATTCATCAGTTGATAGACATTTAGGCTCTTTCCATAATTTGGCTATTGTTGAAAGCACTGCTATAAACAGTGGGGTACATGTGCCCCTATGCATCAGAACTCCCGTATCCTTTGGATAAATTCCTAGTAGTGCTATTGCCAGGTGATAGGGGAGTTCTATTTTTAATTTTTTGAGAAACCTCCACACTGTTTGCCACAGCAACTGCACCAGTTTGCATTCCTATCAACAGTGCAAGAGGGTTCCCATTTCTCCACATCCTCGCCAGCATCTGTTGTTTCCTGAGCTGTTAATTTTAGCCACTCGGACTGGTGTAAGGTGGTATCTCATTGTGGTTTTGATTTGTATTTCCCTGATGAGGAATGACGTTGGGCATCGTTTTGTGTGTCTGTTGGCCATCTGGGTGTCTTCTTTGGAAAAGTGTCTATTCATGTCTTCTGCCCATTTTTTTGGTGGATTATTTGTTTTTCAGGTGTAGAGTTTGGTAAGATCTTTATAGATTTTGGATACTAACCCTTTATTTGACATGTCATTTGCAAATATCTTTTCCCATTCTGTCAATTGCCTTTTAGTTTTGTTGATTGCTTCCTTTGCAGTGCATAAGTTTTTTTTTTTTATCTTGATGAGGTTCCAATAGTTCATTTTTGCTTTTAATTCCCTTGCCTTTGCAGACATGTCAAGTAAGAAATCGCTGCAGCTGAGGTCAAAGAGGTTGTTGCCTGTTTTCTCCTGTAGGGTCTTGATGGTTTCCTGTCTCACATTTAGTTAGGTCTTTCATCTATTTTGAGTTTATTTTTGTGTATGGTGCAAGAAAGTGGTCTAGTTTCATTCTCCTGCAGGTTGCTGTTATGTTCTCCCAGCACCATTGCTAAAGAGACTGTCCTTTTCCACTGGGTACCCTTTCCTGCTTTGTCAAGGATTAGTTGGCCATACATTTGTGGATCCAATTCTGGGTTCTCTATTCTGTTCCATTGGTCTATGTTTATGCCAATACCATGCTGTCTTGATGATTACAGCTTTGTAGTAGAGGCTAAAGTCTGGAATTGTGATGCCTCCCGCTTTGGTCTTCTTCTTCAAAATTACTTTGGCTATTCGGGGCCTTTTGTGGTTCCATAGAAATTTTAGGATTGTTTGTTCTAGCTTTGAGAGGAATGATGGTGCAATTTTGATTGGGATTGCATTGAATGTGTAGATTGCTTTGGGCAGTATTGACATTTTAACAATATTTGTTCTTGCAATCCATGAGCATGGAATGTTTTTCCATTTCTTTGTGGCTTCTTCAATTTCCTTCATAAGTCTTCTATAGTTTTCAGCATACAGATCTTTTACATCTTTGGTTAGGTTTATTCCTAGGTATTTTACAGTTCTTGGTGCAATTGTAAATGGGATCAATTTCTTGATTTCTCTTTCTGTTGCTTCATTATTGGTATATAGACATGCAACCGATTTCTGTACATTGATTTTGTATCCTATGACTTTGCTGAATTCATGTATCTGTTCTAGCAGCTTTTTGGTGGAGTCTTTTGGGTTTTCCATAAATCCATGTTAATAGCATTTATTCGTATCTAATATTATGTCCTTAAGGATTCAAAAGCTATTCCCTCTTGTTTGGTGGATTAGATCCAGGTATCCATTCCTATTGAAAGCCATTTTTTACTCTGTCTCTCTCGAAAGGATAATTTGCACCCAGGGTCAAAAGGAAGGCTATTGACAACAGAGACATCTAAGGTATATACCACAATCTCACCTTTCCAGAGCCATTACCTTAGTTGATAGTTCTACCACAAAACTGGTCAGAACCAAAATATGATTACATCCTCCAACCCTTTCTATGATGACCTTGAGAGGTGTGGCATTTGTATTTCCAGGGCCTGGCTCTGAGTAGACAGTTTCAGGAGTCTTGTTTAGTCTTTAGGATTTTTTTTATCCTCCTGACCATTGGGACTAAACTATAGTCAAGCATAGTTTTAGTTTAGTTAGAACCAAACTAATTCATATAGATTTATTTATGACAAAGTTTTATGATAATACACAAAACAGCCATAAGCATTTCCATGCTTCTCAAAACCATCCCCTTTTTGGTCTGCTTACCCAGCCGGGGTGACGTTATGGTATTTACATTAATCTTCTCATTGCAAGGCTGAAGGTGGCATGGCCTGTATGCTGCAGGTTTCTCTGAAGAAAAACATTCATTTCCATGTCTTCCTGTGATCTTATGCATGCACTGAATAACACGGGACTGCATTCCTTTGCCACAGGTAATTGAGCACTAGGAGAGATAGAATATTGTACAAATAAAAATATGATAATCTGCATTAAAAAAATTAAAAAATAAGGGGGGGGCGCCTGGGTGGCTCAGGCGGTTGAGCGTCCGACTTTGGCTCAGGTCATGATCTCGCGGTCCGTGAGTTCGAGCCCCGCGTCGGGCTCTGTGCTGACAGCTCAGAGCCTGGAGCCTGTTTCGGATTCTGTGTCTCCCTCTCTCTGACCCTCCCCCGTTCATGCTCTGTCTCTCTCTCTCTCTGTCAAAAATAAATAAACATTAAAAAAATTTAAAACAAATATGATAATCTGGATTTTCTAATAAAATACCCTTTTCATGGATTCCTTATATTTCAGCTGAATGGAGTCTGTCTTCATTTGTAGGATATTTTTCAAAGAAGAACATATTTGATATACAATGGTCTTTGATGAGAGAAGTCTTTCAGGTCCAAATATATCACTAGATTTAATTTGTAACACAAATAAGCTGATGTTTATTTGACTGTGAAAATACAATTGTTTTATGGTATCAGAGTTACATGTGAAAGAGCAAACATGACTTTGTTTCTGAAAACAATGGTTTATTAACTAAGCATGCTATTTTCTACAGAGTAAAGATTTAGCCATAGTTAGCAAAATATGTAAAGAATTTTATCAACTCCAAAGGACATCAACACACCAAAGTCATACATCAGTGTTCAGGATTATAAAAAAAATGCAATGAAGTAACTACAGACACATGATAACTCAAAATACATAATTTTAGCGGATAATGGCTGAATAGTGCCTCTCATAAAATTTTGAAAACAAGAGGAAAACATGTTAGTTGCATTCCTTATGCAAGCTAAATTTGTAACTGTCTGGGAATAACCTGAAAATGAAAATTGTATCCAGGAAATAATGGAAGTTCTATAATTCGTTTAACTAAAAGACCATCATTTCTGCCTTTGAAACTAACAGAATAAGCTTTCTCACAAAATTAAATAGTCTAATAGCCTCAGGATCTAATTTTAATTAGCACACTTAGGCAATAAAAAATATCAGACTGTTACTATTAATTATTTTCTTTATAAAATACATTTGGGTAAAAATTTCATTGCATATATGTGAAATATGAACAGATACTTGAAACAAGTGAAATCCCAGGGTCTTCTAAATTAGTTCTTACTTTATTATAGAAGATACTACTAAACAACTGGATATTTCCCCAAATCATGTCACTGCGATTAAAGACAGACAGACATTAAAAGAAAAAGCCAAATATTCTGGCCTTGACATGAGGAAAATGGGCTCCAATACTGTCTCTTACAACTAATTTACCTGGAACTTATTTTTCCTTTTTATTAAGCAAGGCATTGCAGTAGATCATAACTACACTTTTGGGTCTAAATTACTATGAAAGCAAAAATTCCAAATAACACTGTTACTGTTTACTTATTTGTTTTGAGAGACAGAGACAGAAAGTGCATGCATGCAAGCAGGGGAGGGGCAGAGAGAGAGGAAGAGAGGAGAGAGAGAATCCTAAGCAGGCTCTGCTCTGTCAGCGTAGAGCCCAATGCAGGGCTCAAACCCAGGAACCTGGAGATCATGACCTGAGCAGAAATCAAGAGTTGGATGCTCAGGGGTACCTGGGTAGCTCAGTCAGTTGAGTCTACTTTCAGTTCAGATCATGATCTCACAGTTCCTGGGTTCGAGTCCCCACATTGGTCTCTCTGCTCTGTGCGCAGAGCCTGCTTCAGATCCTCTGCCCCTCGCTCTCTGCCCCTTCCTCATGCACGTGTGTGCACATGCTCTCTCTCACTCTCATAAATAAATAAATAAGTAAATAAATAAGTATTAAAAAAAAGGAGTTGGATGCTTAAGCAACTGAGCCACTCAGGCACCCCAAATGACTTATTATTAAGTTACTATAGTCTGGCAATTTTTTTACACTTTATTTACTTTGAGAGAGAGAGAGAGAGACAGGACACAAGTGGGGTAGGGGGATAGAGAGAGAGAGAAAGAGAGAGAGAGTCCGAAGCAGCCTCCAGGCTCTGAGCTTTCAGCACAGAGCCTGACACGGGGCTCAGACTCACAAACCACGAGATCATGACCTGAGCCAAGTCAGACACTTAACCGACTGAGACACCCAGGCGCCCCTGTAGTCTGGCAATTTTTAAGTGGTGAAGCTTCATCACAGCACAGGGTCTATAATTTCATCATCTAATTAATTATTCAGTGTACCAGCCAACAATGGTATGACAGAAGTTCTGCCAAGATTAGAGTTTGCTTAAATGTTTCAGAATAGTCAAGCATTTATTGATTTTTCAAATATTTGTTGACCACCCATTTTGTTCACGATCTGCAGAAAATAAAAACAGCAAAAATTGTTAATATGATGGAGCTGATACTTTTATCAATAAACCTTATTAACAAAACACTAAAACATATCAAATAAATGGAGTTAGAAACAGATTACAAAACTGTGGAAATTGGGCAATTTCATCCACTTTTAGCCAATTGTTTAATATTTTATTTATTTATGTATTTATTTATTTCATTTTTTTTTCAATGGCTTAGTATTTTAAATAATCAGCCACCCTACAGAACCAAAGTTTTCTGCTTTAGGATCAAAGGAAACTGATACTACTAATTCCGGAAGCTTTTACTTCATACAACACTAATGATAATTAGCACTTACTTACTGTTTCTTATATGTCAGGTATTGTGTTAGGTCATGATTATTCAGTATTTCACATGAAGTCCTATATTTGTCCCTGTTACTCTGATGAGAAAATAGAGGCTCAAATAAGTGAAACTAATTGCTCAAGTCTTTACAGTTCAGAACTGGAGTGGAAATGGAGTCTGAACTCACATATGCTAAATTCAGAGACTAGATGCTTAACCAATTACTGGATCCTGGAACATTGCTAGCGCTTCTGTTTCTATGAATAGTCAGAAATCTTTTCTTTTCCTCTATCCTGCCAAATGAACCTCTCATCCTCGTATCTTACTATGAACTTGATTAAACATTAATGAATAAGAAGGGCTTTTTGGTTTGTTTTGCTATAACGCAGGTTATAAGATAGAAGATAAACTTGTTTTTCAAGAACAATTCACAAGCATGATTTGTCTTGAGATACGGTGACCATATAACTTATCACCCAAATCAGGGCACTTGTGAAAGAAGTTGCTGATGATAATTATTCCTACAGTACAGGCATACCCTGGGACAGCCCCGCGTAATCTGGGACATACAGTCACCCTATGTACAGACATCTTACTGATCTGTGTGTTAGACGGTAAACACAAATGAATGGACACATGAAGCAGCTATTATATTTCATGCATTATCTAATATGCTTTTACACAGCATATTAAACTTTGGTTACACTTTGTCATAACCCCCATAACTTCACAAATGAAAAGAGTGAGGCTCATTGAGATTATTTCATTCATTCATTCAATTAATATTTATGGGAAGTCCACAATGTGCCAAACACTGTTTTGGATACTGGGATGTGACAGTACACAAAAGAGACAAAAACACATGCCCTCAGGGAGTTTACATTTTAATAGGAGGGAGCAAGAAAATAAAGATTTAAATTACATTGCATATTAGATAGTGACAGGTGCTATGGAAAAAACTAAAGCCGGGAAGGAAGGATGGGAAAGTTTGGGGTGGGGGGCTTTGTAATTCAAATAGGAGGATCAGATAAGGACTCACAGAGAGGGTGCCAAGAACAGCAAATGCAAGTCTTTTGATTCCAAATATGATGTTCTTTCCACTGTGTTTCTACAGATCTTGAATTAATTACTTTCAATGGCTTTCTCTTTCTCTCCTTCCTCCCTTTTTCCTTTCTTTCCCTCCTTCCTACCTTCCCTCCTTCTGTCTTTTTAGCTACTACATTTTGAGTCTTGCTCTTCATACAAACACCAAGTAAATTTAAAATGTACTTGAAACAAGGCAGCACTATAGACTTCCCCCTACAGGCCAAAATGCTGAACTGTCAACATTAACCTGCCAGCAACTGGTAAAGAAACACAAGGGGTACCTGATAACTTGCCATTGATATTTCTTTTACAGGGAAAATTCCCTGGAGTATTTTAAATAGAAAGACTTGTATTGTCTGACAAGAATTCAAACAGTCAGTCTTGCCCTGATGGACCTTTGGAACAAAGCACCTCGTGAATCAATTCCATGAACTAGAAGCTTTTAATTCTGAGCCCCAAAGTCTCTGGAAGTGAAATTTGTTTAACTGACTTCCTGATAGTCATCATTTCAATCTACCTGAGAAAATAATGACCTTCCCTGCACTTGGGAACACACGAGTCATATCACCATAGATTTCTCTTATAATCGAATAAATCCTTTCTGGCCCTGGAACATTAGTGACAACTTTTAAGACTATTAAATTATGTCTACACTGTATGTCAAACACTAAGCTTGATTAGGGAAACTTTCTCGATAATTCACAGTTTGGGTTATTAAAATATGTACAGAAATCATTTAGTAAATGAGAACCATAGACACAAATGTTGGCAAATCATTAAGAAGGCTTTATCCTGTTTTAAAATGAGGTCCACATTGATAGAATCTTATAACCATTTCTATTACCTAAAATTTTCTTTCTGCCATTCTTATGCGAGGCAATAAGAGATAAGAGACTTTATTCTACCTAAGAAAATTTCATTTAAACTAACTGAAAGAGAAATATCTGGAGAAGTAAGTGACATCCAAGTTGGGGAAAGTGTATAGTAGATGTTTACTTAGTTCATACATTTTTCTGACAATGGCCAAGGATGATCTGATGATAGATACAGATATGTCTTGGAAAGTTGTATCTACTAACTTAGTAAATACAACTAAGATGATAAGTTAGATGATAGCCCTGTCATGGACAGGATTTGCCAGTACTGGTAAAGGCAGGTTAAGATACCACAATGATTTTGCCAAGTTACGGATTGGCCTAAATGTAAACAAACGAAGGGAAATAGAAAAAAATGTAGGAAAAACAAACACACTAA